TTGAGAAAATGGAGAAGAACATGCGAAGAGAACAGAAAGATCGAATCATCCGATCAGGACCTTCTATAATTTTGTATCCTGGTGTAACGAACTCGTTTTATGCGCCACTAGTACACGTGAAACAACATCGAGAAAAGTTTCCAAGCGGATGCTGTACACGCTGATTTTCGTAAAGCTTTCAAGTCTGTAAATCATCCCATTTCTATCTCATAACTTGGGGTACTTGGTATGCATAGGCCTTCTTCTTCTGGCTATCTAGTTTTATAACTGACAGAACTCGGATCGTAAAATTTAATGACCGCTACTCCGAAGAGATTGCTTTGCACCCAGGTGTTCCGCAAAACTCTCATTCGTACGCATCGATTCGTCAACGACATTTCCAATGCTACCGGAAACACTGGTTTACTAACGGGCAGAAGAATGAAGCTTCATTTCAATTGAAACCGACAAGAATCAAGCTTTATTTTAATGTCTCAAAGTGCCATGTCGTTCGTTTCCAACCGTATTGTCTTGTGTTCTAAATTATAATAGAATCTAAGTACAGGTAGTTTTATTTGAAAGTAACGAAATTTAACTTTCACTCTCTTTGTCCCTCTTGTAATTGTAATATGGTTCCATCATCTGGTGTCCATACTACGAGACACACGGCGATCGAGATAGCACAGCATAGATTTCCTCGGTTTGCTTCCTACACCACCAATACATCCATGCCTGTTTATTACCATAATTATGATCCTATACAGTCGCGACTGGGGTTATTGACTCTCGACTAACGTCGTACGGCTGTCTTGCTCTTTGTATATGAACTAATCAATCAGCTGATTACCTGTCCTGATATCGAAGTCGTCTATCACTTCAAGAATGCGAATTCAGTTTGTATTACTGATTACATTTTTATTTCTATTTTGTCATACATTTTAGAATGGCTGATTATTTTTTTCAGCTTCATCTCGACTGTATTACTTGTTGAATTAAAAGGCTTGATACATTGAATTAAATTCAAAGCCTTGCTCGATGGACACTCTCGAGAGGTTTCCAGGAACGTCGACTCGATTTTGCTATCACGGAACTGGTTTTCGTTTCGAGGGACGTTTCATTTGGACTCGATCGAGTTGAAACGGAAACATGTATGAAATAACGATAGAGGATATCCGCGAAGAAATCGAAATACGTATAAACGTGACCAGAACCGACGTCAATCTTATTTATATACAAATGGAGAAATCGTTTATACAGCGTTGCGTATAACATGCAGAATCTCAGCGATCGAGAACGTGAAAGTAGCAAAAAAATATGTTGGTATAAATAACCATGGTGCTTTTATATTCCGGTTAAAGCCATTTTGGTCCCCAGTTATATTCGTCGGAAGTCCAAATATAAATCTGCAGACGGCCTGTCATAGTTCCTCTATCTCTGACACTCGTTGTTGAAGTAATCCAACGCAGTCGATGAGTGCTGAATAAGTGAAGGTTCTCAGATGAACCCAAAAATAAAAATCCAATACTTATGCAAAACAAGCGGGTCAAGCTTCTTCAAGACGTACGTGTTTGTTTGAAAATCGTTCCTTCGAAGACTGTCTGGCCACTGGACTGAAATGAATCGGTGTACCGTCATGCATAAATCACACTTACATCTGATGGAACATCTCCCAATAATTCATGCGATGGATCACCCAGGTAATTGACGTACGATTGGTCAGTTTACTTATCATTAAGCAGAATGTAAAGTCATCGGGTATTGTGTAGAAACAATTCGGAATTCCAATATTCCTTAAATCATTTCAGAAAATTTGGCTGTGCGCAACGCTTCAAGACGTTCACAGGTAACGTAAGAATCGATTCTCTTCGGTCAGAGTGGTCGAACCGCGTGCGTCCGCAGGCGCGCATAATGCACGAACTCTCCTCCCTCTGGCTCACACCCCCCCTTTCTGATTACGAATCGGTAGTTGCAGTAAGGGCGAGGGTTGCTTTTAAGACCCGTCTTGATTAACGATTTCGAGGTTTGCACGCAACATTTGACGTTCGTATTTCACCGCCCGCGACCTTAACGTTGCCTTCTCGCTTCGACGAAGAGGTCAGCAATTTCGCGAAGTTGAAACGCTTCGTTTTCTATCTTATCGTCCTGATAGCGCCGAGATTCGGTAAGAACGAGAATAACGGCGACGGTTCATCCCAAATATGTATAAGCGCGGTAGCTGTTTGTTTGTTAAGCCCTTGTACTCGGGATCAAGTCGTTGCAAAACGACGTATCGAGTGGAAATACATTCGGAATCGAGTAATTTATTGGAACGATATTTAGTTTATGCATGTTGTGCTATGTTTGGGGCCCTAGGCGATAGTTTGATCGGTCTCTGCTCTAAGCGGAAGCCCTAAGCAGGAGCAAGAGGGTCATCGGTCCTGTACTCCCAAAGTCGTGGCATCTGGAGATGGGACTCCGTAATTATTCGGCTGGAACGCATGCGGGTGCGAGGCAACATTAATCGCAGGTACGCAACGGGTCCCTTGGATCGGCGTTAGTTTCTGCCTGTGGGTTGGCTCGTTTTATCGATCGTACGTACGGTGAACTCGTGATTCGAGCGTGTCGTGGCCGCTGCTATCCACGTCCGCTGGTGTATTGTGTAACATGTCGAGTCGATCGACTTTTTTCCCTCCCAGGCGGAGAATTTGCACGCGAATGGAGAACCGTTCTTGCGAACGACCGATAAAGGTGTCGCGTTCGCGTTCCCTCGGAACTCAATCCGATCGTTCCTGTCGGCTCGATCGAATCCTCGCTTTCGAGCGAGCCTTTCGTCGCATTCTCTCCCTCGACAAAGAAAACCATTGTACCCCGAATGTAAACGGGGGCCCGCCGGTTCGACGTGTCGGTAAACACGTCGGGTTTCGCGAGGAACGCACAATCGACTCGTTTTTTTCTCTTCTCTATTTTATCGCCTTGCTAGCTTACCGGGCGACGACTATGGCTCTTTTCGCCGGCCAAACGGGTCAACGGAGTTTACTTTGGCGAATTTATGACGATTTTTCGTATGCGCTGGACCTGGAATACCCTCATCCGAATCTGCATGCAAATTCCGAGGTATGTTTACTCACGTTAGTATTTGTATTTTCCTGTACCATAAAGTATTGTATCGTCTTTGTTTTCTCTAGGTTTGAAAATGTTGCAGTAGCACGAAGAGGATCCACACGCGGAGTTGAAATATTTACAATCATTTATACCAAAGAAGACTTAGCTGAAACATTTTCATTATCGGTGATAGCGTGCTCGAAGCTACTATTTCTACCCTTAGCGTACTCCTCCAAAGCATCAAATTTAATTCGATCTCTTTTAAATGACACCTGCGCGCATCCTGCGCGGAAGCTCCATTTCTTGTCGATCGATGTAAAAGAGTGAAGATCATCCGAAAAACGATCATTTCTACGGTGATCCGTTACGCTCGCGTGTTTTCCTCCAATTAAATTACTGGTTTGCATGTTTCTACATTTTCACGAGATACCGGCGCATACGCACGCACTTGGAATTTTGTAATTAATCGAGCGCCAGACAAACAAGCACGATGGCGGGTTAATGAATTTGCCGGTAACCAGCGCGTATTTCTGTTTAACAATTACATTTAGGAAGGCACGCGTAACCGTCCGACATTTAGGTCGCATAGTTTTGCTACTTGTTTCCAGCGCGCGCTAATGAGAAAAGGACTAATGTTCCATCGACGGAGCCTATTTTGTTTACAGAAACACCTCTGGTAATGGTGTCTATTACGTTTCCCTTGAGAACTGTCCACGGTAACGACTGCCAGGGCAATTATCTTACGTCCGTACGAAAACAGTCAGCGATAGTCGCTCGAAAAGGTACGCGCGAACGTGTAAAGTCGACCGAAGGGCAGTATCGATTTTAGCCTGCATTGGAATCACGCGAGACCGAGGTTGCACGCGACATCGCGATATCGCGTTTTCTGATTACGGTCAAGTGCGAATGTCATCGTCGGTTCAACCTTCGCGTGGACCTGTTTGGTTCAAAATTTGACCGAGAAACGATTCCCGGAAGGTGAGTGTCCGTAATCGTAAACTGTTTCTCAAACTGACTAAACTGATTCCTCGAAAATAATAGTTTCTTTGTGTACGGGTTGATTTAGCATTGAAATATCGTAGAGATATTATAGATAGAGTAGGGGAGAAGATTCACCTAAGAAAAAGAAAGAAAAACGGCGGTACTATATCTGTCTCTGTCTAGCAGCGCATCTCTATATCATTTTTACGTTAATAATAAATATGGTTGTCGTTTATAATTTTAATAATTATATTTTACATTCGCATTCGCAGAGATTGGTGGGGAGGCTTATGTCCTCTCTGCTCTATCTATAATATCTCTATGCGAATTACACCTTCGAGTAAAAATAGCTGACTGTAACAGGTGAATCGTTCGTGCATTCGATAGAACACTTAATGAATTTTAAATAGAAGCTCTGTCAGTTCAATTACAACTACGATTTTTGGTATTTGAAACCACTGCGCGGCGATCGTGATTCGAACCAGGTAGAGGTGCGATTTTCGCGCTCTGCTTTCCGACCGTAGGCAAATTTATGTTCGCTTTCGCGGTCGGCCACGCTGAAATCGAGTTCACGGTGCACGCGAATTTTAGCATACAATGCCACGTCGCGTTAATTACCCACGGACTAGGTGGCATGACTTTGCGCAACCCAGAGATAGGTGAAATTTTGCCAGAATAACATACGACGAATGAAGCTAGCCTGGAAGCAATTTACTCGGTTGGATTTTTAATTGTCCATTCGCAAAACATGGTAGGGACGTCGGTTACCGAGTAACGAATAAACAAATATTTACGTTTCATTCGTTACTCGAAACTTGCATCCAGATAATAGTCCAGGCCACCACAAGGTCTCTGTTGCAGGTATCGTTAACGCCAAGGTGCAGAAATATCTGTCTGTTCGGACGCAGAGATAAAAATATCGCGACGACAGGACGATTATATCGCAAATATCGACTTACCGGAGGCAGGTACCCGCGGAGGTAGCAGCGACAGTAGCAGAAGAAGCATCATCATGGTCGGCTTCGACGGATCGCTCGTTTCTGCAGGATCCCTCGCTGGAAACGATCCTCGGCGCGTCACTATGTCCTCATCGCGGATCGAGGATACAATTTTCTTTGCGTTTTTCCTATTTAAGGGTTGTATCGATCGCCCCGTCGATCGTTATCTTTCCACGAAGACTGTTTACGTAGGTTTCACGAGCATCCAAGCGCGTTAACTCATCCAGGCGAAACTTGAATAGGGACACCGTCTTTCCCGCGAAGAGGCGCGCATCTCGAGCGACTCTTGATCCCCGATGGGTCCGATGGATTAACAGTTGAACCAGAAGTAGAATTTGCCAAGGGAAATTTGATAAGGCAACGAATTAGAGAATTTCGATAGATCCTCGCGTTATTCTCCACTCGTTAGTCGCTCGTGAAAATTTCTCGAGTCCTCCGATTATTTCACGACCTTGCAATTTTTACAAGTCCTCGCGTTATTATCCTCCAATATTCCAAGGAAACTTAACAAATCCTCGCGTTTACTCCTCGACTACCGATTATGCCAATTCGACGAATCCTCGCGTTATTATCCTTCGATTATTCGTCGATCGTGCGAACGAACGTGTTATCGTTTGGCCTTGAACGGCTAGTCGGTGTCACGAGGCGCTGAAATCGCGGGGGTCTCGTAGTCGCGGTTCTCGCGTCTACGGAAAATCGGCATCTCATTCTGCAGCGATCGAATCGGTCGTCAAGACTTTTTGCGTCGATAGAAGCGATCGGTAAATATAGACCAATTAACGATTGAAAGGATCGGTGAACGCGTGACGACGTTACGGCGTTCCAGCCAGTACTGAGGACGTCGGGACGCCCGCCGTTATCAGGGAATTTTTAGCGCGTGCGCGAGTACACGCGTGCGCACCCCCGAGCACGCGGCCCAAACCGAGGGATTCTCCCTGCGATCGGTTGCTCAGGGAATAGGGGAATAAGGGAATAGGTGCGACCCTTCGATGCGTCCTCTGCCACGCGCCTGGTTGGTCTAATTATTCCTTTCCGCGACCCCCTGATGCGTCCACAATTCCATCTTCGTTTGTTACTGTTATTTCAAGCAAGTATTTGCGCATATATCGCGACACCTTTGTACGAAGTCAAATTTCAACCCTACCAATAAAAGAGGAGATCGAATAAGTATGAACATCAAAATAAATATGATACTTCAGAAACATTTACACGATCCCCTCCAAGACTTAAGAAAGAATAATCGTAAAACTAAAACTAATATTTATTGCAGGAAACACTGATGAGCCACCCGCAGGACTCGGAAGAATCACGGAGGTTCGTCATTGAAAGTTTCAATTTTTTCACTGGGGAAACCGCGTCGTTGTTTTCATCTAGACTTTTAAAGACGGGCGTAGGCTCAGCCACGCGATATCCTTGATTTAAAACTCGCCTTCGTAGGTTCTTCCAACTTCGCGCGTTTAAAGCACGAGACGCTTTCGTATCTCGTGATTTACGGAGCTGTTAGCGTGGAATACACTTAACGAAATGATCTCGTTTCTCGGTCTCCTCCGCGCGGATACGACGCCTCCGAGATTGCTCCACCGTCACCGTGAATATTTCCGCGGCTTTCCAGATGATCAACTTCCAGATCCATGGTAAAAGCGACAAGCGAGCGCGCTTGATCATTAGCTGTGCACACTTTTTGTTTGAGATCGTTGGAAGTAACTATTTAATGATGCAATGGAGTATTAACTATGTAGTAAAGAAAATCGGTTCTCGAAACGTCTTCAATAGTGTTCTTCGTGTTATAGAAGGCCACGTTTCTGCAACTGCCGCAATTGTGTATTTGGTCCAAGTAACAGGCATTTCGAAACGGTCAAGCGAACAAAAGAAAAGCTATTCGATGTTTATCTTCTCTATTGATCCAACCTGTTCAAAGACGAATGCAACAATCTCGGTTCGCGTTTAACCTGCGTAATGTAAAGAATATATAATGGTATAAGAAACAAAACCATTATTAACGGAAACGTTAGAAATGGTTTTTTTTCAATTGGAACCACTAATAAGTATTACTGCCATTTAAGCGATTACTGCAATAACAACGACCGTGGCGAGGGGTCGATGGAACGCGCGTTATTTTTCGCGTACGAGGGTGTCCTTGGATAATTATTAGAAATCGCTGGATTAATCTAAAATAAATTATTTAACGAACGATAAATTACCATCGAGGTCAACACCCCGTCGACGTTTCCTAGTGTCTTTCGGCCAGCGTCTCTTAATCTCTTTCGATGACCAGAAAGCGGGCTTTCGTCGAAGAAAATAGACTTTCACCCTTGAAACGATAACAACGGGACACACGAGGCGAGGGGTGAATTTCAATTGAACCGTCGACTAGCGTCGGAAGGGTTCGTTGACCAACATTATCGTTGCTATATAGTAACGTGCACGCGAACTTGCCGAATGCCTTTGAAGAGTAATCGTTTCTCCATTAAAGTCGTTTAACGCCATTCGTCTTCTATGAGGCTCTTCGCGGCCTCGACTTTCGATAGTTGGAACTTCTTTGACGTGCTATCAATTCTCTTCGCCTTTCGTGGAACAGAATTGGTGATTATAGGTTCGCAGTCTGAAGTTTAATTAATATATTAAAGTAATATAGTATAGTGTTATAAAGCCATGAATCGTATTAACCATTAATTCATTAATGATCAACTGGCCTTCATTTCAAAACATTTAAACTATCACAATTTCTCTTGTGGTTTTCCTGTATTTTCACTCAAATGAATAGTCATCTCGCGGTGAACGGGCCGAACTAATTTTCGGAGTTTGGTCAGCTCCTCTATCGGGAAAACGCTCAAGTTTGTCGTCAATAGTTCATTTTTTCATTTCTAGATGGCGCTGTTTACTGTGCGTTTTACCGACCTGTCGATACATTACCATCACGTCGGTAAATAACACTGTTAACAGTGCCATCTAGCAGTAAAATTAGGAACTATTGAGGACAAACTTGGGCATTTTCCCGATAGAGGCGCTGATCAAACTCCGAAAATAGTTCAGCCTGTTCACCGCTAGATGGCAACACCATTTCCCGCGGGAAATTTGAATGTCTATTTATTTATTAAATTAAAGTTCATTAGAAGCATTTGTAGATACTATTAGAGTATTTTTCCTACAAATTAATACATACAGAGGCATGACTAACGTATTGAGTACGTTTTCAATAAAATGACGATATCTTTTAACACTTGTAGAACTTGGTAAAATTCGAGTGGTCATGAGCGGCGGAATTCGGGAATACAATATATGGAAGTTAAGTGCGTGTATAAGGTTAATGTTTCGTGTTTGCGGTGTTTTGTTTAATTTACTATTTATCGTTCGTTTTGAACTGTGGTTTGTGTAATGTGGAATCTTTTCGTTCTGTCAACGTGTATTCGTATTCCTTACATGCCTAATTTTTTACACGCACACAATGACTGTTAATGAATTCCTGAGATACTACGCGTCATGTGGGGTTATCTTGTGAAATTTCGTAACTGTACAAAAAGAAACATAAATAAACAATCGCGTATAATTTAGATCGTTTAAGTAAGTTTCCTTCGTGATGGATATTCCGGCGACACAAATTTGCGACGACTATGATTTTACTCCGACGCAGAAATTGTCTCATTCTACGCAGAATGATGCAAGCCGAGATGGAGTAATACAGGTAAATGCGATTAAATATTTTTGTAAATTTCATTATTGTTGTCATTAGCGTTTTTAAAATTTTAGGTGGGAACATTGAGTATTGGTTCCAACACGTACCCAATTAAGAAAGGAATTACCACGATTGGCAGACTACCAGAATGCAGTATCGTGTTAACTGATCAGGTAAGTTTTTTAATTCCATACAATAATTGTATTTTAAATGTTTATAATATTCAAGAAATTTCTTAAAATAATATAGGATTTACTTGGACAATTTTGTGACAACATAAAATTATACAATATAATTTATATGATACAGATTGGTAAGGAAACATATTTATAATTCTTCTCTTTTTGTATGTCCATCAGATGGACTGCTTAATATATTTTCATTGAATTTGATAGAGTTCCAAAAATCTTTCTGTCCAAAGTTTGCATCACTCTCCATAAAGATTTTGTCTGGTCCAGCTATGTGCAAGTAATTAAGTGCCTTTTCGCTTGGATTTACTCTAGGCCATTCTACGCCTCCCATATTTGGGACTCTAAATTGTAAAAGAAGACTACATAAGAATACCACAGAATAATTTCCTTAAATTTTTTACTCACCCATTAGTTGAAAATGATATCCATAACTCGATCAAAAGTTGTTGCATTTTACGATCATTCAGTGTTGTTGTGGCATCTAAATAAGGAGTATCCAAAACAGTGAATGCATCATCCCCATGAGACACACCTATAAAAAGTATCTAATGCATATAACTCTCCTTTTTCTTGATATTATTATTCCTATTTATGTATTTAACCCACCATAATTAGTAGTAGATTTACTCTCGTATTCGCTCAAACTATGTGCGCCTCTGTACGAGAAATAGTAATACCAAACAGGCTGCTTATTAACGCTAGCTTGCAGTCTGGCAGCTTTTTCACTGTCAACAACGAAAAACCGATCACCGGCTACTTTTATCAAAGGTTTCGTTGTCGTTTCATCAATTTTTTTTGTTCCAAAATATTGTTTCTTGATGAGTCTAGCAACTTCAACGTGTTTCTCTTTAGGTAAAGTGTAATTATAATCGAGAAAATCTGGCGCGAGAACATCCCAATTGTCTTCCAAGGTTTTTAAGGCTTCCGGTATAGCGATAAATTCTGAAAAAAAAAAATCGTTTTGAAAAAAAAAGTAATTAATCATTATCGTACATTTCTTACCTGCAACTGGAAACAATCCTTCTTCACTGGTCACTCCAGTAATCCAAGGAATATCATGAACGTCGCCACTACTCACGATTTCAACAGGTGTACGATCGATGAACGGTTCATCTCCGTATCTTTCCGGAACTGGTCCGAATGGCGTGAACGGATTATAATAAAATCGCTAAAACCAAATTATCCGTTTTAAAAATAAATCGAGAAATTTGTAAAGTAGAGAATATATACCATAAATTCACTAGTGGATTCAACCATAGCTGTAGGCGGGCGATATCTCAGACACCGTACCATTTCCCTTGCATTACCTGTAGGGCAACCCATAAGGGCTGCCACGCGTTTGGACTTTTCCAACATATTTTCTGCCTGTGTCCAACAGTCAAAAGTTGTACCACTGATTGAAATACCACCTAACAGATTTCAGAAAGAAGAACCAGTCATTATTTATTTCATCGACATGCGATAGGAAGTCTGTGATAACGTTTTCGATACCTTGGAAAAGACCAGCACTCATGGGCGATAAGTAGTGGTAATGAACGCTCGCGCCACCCGCGCTTAAACCGGCCAAAGTCACCTTCTTTGGGTCACCACCGAACCACTCGATGTTTTCCGACACCCATCTCAGAGCCATACTTTGATCCTTCAGTCCCATGTTACCGGGAACTACTTCGTTCTCTGTACTAAGGAAACCTACGAAAGAATTAGACTTGGACACATCGTCATTCTTCGCGTTAACAATGTTCACAATTAAGTAATTGTGTAATTAAGTACCTAATATTCCCAGACGGTAATTGATTGTAACAACGACGACGTCATAATCCATAAGATATTTAGCGCCCATATCCTGCCCGCTACCGAACTGGAATGCCCCCCCGTGTATCCAGAAAATCACCGGCATCGGTTTGGTGGTCGTTCTCTCATGGACTGGCACGTAAACGTTCAAATAGAGACAGTCCTCGGCACCGATTACCTTTTCGTATTCCGGTGGTTGGGGCATTTGGATGTATTGCAAGCATCGAGAACCGAACTTTGTTGCAGATAGTTCGCCCACCCAGGGAGGTAAACGATGAGGAGGCTAAATATTGACGCGGAATTAAGTAATCGCAGACTTTTCATTCATAATTAACATTTCAACACGACGAACTATCAAGACATCGATTATTTTACAATATAGAAGAGAAATTAGTTTAGAAAAATGTGTTAATTGCCTTGAATCGAAGCTTTCCTATCGGAGGCAACGCGTAAGGGATGCCTTCGTAGGCCTCGTACTGTCTTCCATTACCGGCGAGCTTATAATGACCCTTGACGGCACCAAGGGGTGTTCTAACTCTTGGCCCGTCTTCCAGACTCCACGTGAAAGTCACAGATCCGAGCAGAAACAACAGACACCACAGTGTAGACATTTTCGATGCACTGAAGTCTTCTGTAACAGTAGTCCTGTATATAAATTAGCCAGTGTGACAATCCCTACTCTCGGAGTTTCTTCGGTAATTGAAATGATGTGTTAGCGATAAGTTGCTATGCATAGTAACCTGGACGGTTGTTACTGCTGCTTATAACTGAAATATCTGTATGCGTATGATAAGATAAAGCAGATCGCTTGTGCTACGGAGGACGTAATTTGTTTTCGTGATACCGACAATACTCCATGAGAGATTTGATCCTTGCAGATCTCTTTGGTCCATAGAGACCTTGGAGAATAACTTTTATTTTTAACTTTTCGCAAAGATATATTGTTTAGATGCGTCGATGTTTACGCCATCGTTGACTCTCGGAGATAAGTTCCTTATCGCAATTTGTCCATTTACTGCAGGAGACATAGTTATAACATACAACATAAATTGAAGTATTGTCATTTATTATCTGCATAAATTTAGTGCAATGTATAATAGTATTACGGCAACGATGGTTAATTAGCAAAAATATTCCTTTTAATTGCAGACGGTGTCTAAGAAGCACGCAGAGATCGAGGCCAACAGTCGTGAAACAGCGTGGATCTGCGATCTGAATTCCTCCAACAAAACGAGGCTCAATAACGTAATACAACTTTATCTTATTCGTATAACCGTGTTGCGACCCGGATCTTGTGACCCTTTAATTTAACCTAATGAACCCCCAATTGATACGATGAAATCAGAATATTGTAGACTACAACGATGAGTCTTCTACTCATCTCGTAATATTTTTTTCGCAGACGATTTTAAGGCCAGGCCGATGTTACGAACTGAAAGATGGAAACGAACTCAACTTTGGCACGGTACACGCAATTTACAATGTGTATCCTCCAATGGACGATTCCGTGGTCCCGGAAACACCGGCACCAAATCGTCAAAAAAATATGATCATTCCAGGAACACCTGACTCGTCATTGGTAACTATTCCGTATTGTCCCAGATTGCTAATTGAAGTCATCGGTAGGACTTACCTGGCAGATTTTGCCTTAATTCTTATCTGGTACTATTACGCGTTTCTTGAATAGCTTAAAAGTATTCTAGTAATTAGTTTGAAGAGATTATTCGACCGTGTAATAGCGTCACATCTTTGACAGGAATCGTCAGAATAAGTCTTATCTGTCAGTAATATTCGTGTTTGTCTCAGATTATTAGTATTACCAGATTATGAACTAATTGTAAGAGCATAGTATCTTCTACCTTAACTACGTTTTTTGTATATAGAGTAATATTTCACAGAAATATTTGCTAAAATAAAATTATTTGAGACTCTTTTTTTACCATATGAAACTCAACTATCTACCCTAAACCATTACATGATCATATGTACTTTGTGCAGAACAATTCGTCCATTTCGGTGGGAAACGACTCTATTATTCCTTCCACGCAAGCTGACGTTGAAGGAGCCGTGTTTCGACGTCCATCTGCGCCTCAGCGTAACTCTAGCAGCACCATTAAGAAGACTGTAATTCGTGATTCCTTTTCTGAAGACAGCACGATTTACCAAGATGTACCAAGTGACACTGCGCAGGAACAGAGAAATGGCGAACAAAGGGTCAGTATTCATGATGTAGAGACGCAGAAGGCGTTCGAATCGCATAACGAAACGGATATCCATGACGTTGAAACTCAAAAGGTCTGCTTAAACGACATCGCAACTATTGAAAAACATGTCCGCAAGAAGCCAATTGACATTCATGATATGGAAACGCAACACGATGAGAATATAGAGACGCAAAATGCCGTTGATATCCACGATATGGAGACTCAACTTAATATAGATATCCATGATATAAAAGCACCGAACAAGATCGGACATCATGATGCTTCAGCACGAAATGCTGATATTAACATTCGTGATGTCGACAAATGTAAGACAGAAGAGATAGGGTTAGCAGATGAGAGTAAAAGCAATAACGATAAGGAAGATATAAAAGATAATGAAACGAAAGAGGGAAAATACTCTTCCAATAATGCTGATACTCGAGATGATAAATGTGAAACATTTCAAACAGTTGTACATATAAAAGAAGAGCCTACTACGTCCGATGAACATACGAAAGATGATCAAAAAAGTTCACAGGAATGTTTGCAGTTATCGCTTTCGACAAATTTCGAAGATGACTGTTCAGAACTTGATAGAAGCCGCGCTTTAGTTAGTTCGCAAAATTTATTAGAGGACTTGCTTGGGGATGATGATCCACTGAATATGTCAAAATTGAAATCATCGACGTCTGAAATAACTGACAAGAGCACCGACGAAGAGAACATATTTGACGCTGCAACGCAAGTCAAAAATGAAGATGAAAATATTTTCGAAGCCGCCACTCAACGCATTAATTACCAACCCAAAGCTTCTCAGGTGGAAGACGACTCCGACGAGTCCAATCAAGACTGTTTATTCCAAAGATACTCGCGCATTGCTAGTCAAGATAGTCAAACCCCTTCGAAGAGTCAATCAGTCGATAGCGAAGATTCGGACACAGATGAAGAAGGTCATTTCGCAGAAATAGCTGTGAAAGAAAAACGAGCATCCGCGTCGTTCGAAGTGCGACTGAACGGAAGTAAGGAAGCTACGAGCGGTGACTCTGAAGATATGTTTGATGTACCTACGCAACGTATAAATCGAAAAAGTACAAATTCATCAACTACTGTTGTGGATTTTGACGCGCCAACGCAAGTGATTCAAACGAAGAAATCTGAAGATGTTGCAAGAATGAAGGAGGTCGACAACGACGACATGGCAGCGACACAAATTCTTCCAATGACTAAATCTTCTCCAAAAGTAAACGAACTTTCTATCGATTTAGCAAGTAGTGAGACAGAAGTAGACTATAACGCGCCTACTCAAATAGTTAACATTTCGGAGAAGGTTTCGGAATTCGATAACAACAAAGTGCCCGTTTCTTCTGATGTGGTAGAGGATAGGACCGAGGACACTGATTACGAAATGGCGCCCACTCAATTAATCAGTGAAGTCGACGAAAACGAATCTGCATCAACTACTGACGTTAAGAAGGTCGCAGACAAGTCCAGTTTAAATGATTCTTTGGAAAAAAATCTGAAAAAAATGTTCAGTGATGTTATAAACGATGATGATATAGAAGAGCATCAGCTGGTGTCAACTCAGGTTCTCACCAACATGTTACAGTCATCACAAGGCGAAGATAAACCCACCATTAGCCATTCGCCTAACGAAAATAATACATCGCCGATAATTAGTAAAACCAAGAGATTGCCAAGAAGTAGGAAAAGCAAAATTGATATAGCTTCCATTTTACCATCGAAAAGACAACACCGTACGACTAATTTAACGGATACCGTCACTGACGACGAATCACAAAATACGGACAATTACTTCACCAATCTAACCTCGACGCGAAAAAAGAACGTAATAGGTTCCCAAGATGTGGATAGTCCTGTTGCAGACACATTAGACGATAAAAAAAAAAGTAATAATGAAAAGGATAATGTTCGAGGTTCGCCATCGATGTCTTCAACACTGGGAACTTCAGAAGTACTAGAAAGAACAGACGTTCCTAAAAGTAACGAAGAGGTATCAGAAAAATCTTCCAAAACAGATAACCAAGTATCTCGACTCGCTTCTCTATTATTGGAGGAAAATGATGATGATATTTTAGCCGCGTTTCCTGAAGTTAGAATCTCAGGTACTCTATCGAATCCAGCAAGTCCAACGTTGTCAGAATCTGGGCAGAATACTGGCAGGATGCACTCGAAACGAAGGGGAAAAAAGGCTGAACCCAAAAAGAAATCCATTCCACGGAAATCAACTCGAAAAACACCTAGACGCGAGAGCAACAAAGACACCGAACCTTCTGTTAGCAGGTTGAATTCTCCGCCGATTTTGGAAAAGTTTAATAACTTTAACGTCGACAAAGCGTCTATAAACGTAGACGAAAGCGATGACGAGAAAGTAATCGAAACGTTTAAACAATCGGTGACAAACACAGCAGCCAAGAAACGTAAATCCAAGAGTGGATCTGAATTGCAACAAAAATCAAATTCTTCTATCGATTCGCAAGAGGGAGCAAGACATAGTCCTTCCATTCAGGGCAACCGGAAAACTCGTAATTCCAGCAAAGAAAATGTTGATCGTTCGTCTGTTTTTCAGGTGGAAAAGGAAGCTCTGGGCGGAAGCGTAGTTACCAAACCTGCGAAAAATACTACTTTAAGTTCTTCACGTGGCAGAAAGAGATCGCTCAGCTCGGAGGATGCTATTGATACTAATAAAACAAAAAAACGTAGAGAAAGTGTCGACGAAGGCCTATCTGAAACTATCAAAGACAGGAGAACTAGAACCAGAAAAACTGCCGTCAACAAAAAAAATTCTGAGACTATACTTGATTACATGACTACGCGAAATTCACCAGTCAGTATAGAGACTTCGCGCAACACGCAGCTGTCATTTAATCAAGAAAGTATAAAGTCTAAACAGTTGATGGTCAAAGTCATGAGATTTTCTCCAAGTAGTCCAATAGAGCATGTATCCCTAAGAAGCCAGACAGAGTCTACAATTGAAGATATCGTCAGTAATGAAACCAAACCAACTCCTCGTACAAGCGTCGTTGATCGAGCCGCTTCAAATAAAGCCGCCGCAATCGAAACTGAAAAGGCTACTTCAAACATAAGGACGCGAGGAAAGAAGAATCGAAAAGCAACGAACACTAAACGCCAACTTGAGGTAGAAGTTATAAATTCTCAGAGCGAAGAGTCGCAAGAAGTAGAGATGATTATGAGTGCTTCGCTCATAGAGCAAAGTATCACATCAGACTCGGAAAAAAAGAAAGAGGTACAAAAAGAAACGAAAAATGTCTCAACCAGAAATACTAGAAAACGTGCGAACAAATCGACTAACGTTGATGTGGATTCCGCAAGTATTTCCAACTTGGATACCGTACAGTCTGAAATGACTACTTTAAGTGAGCCTGTTACTAAAAAAAAGAGGGGCACTCGGCAATCAACACGTGCTCAAAATGTTGATCACAATTCTTCATTTTCAACATCATCGCCGTTCAAAACAAAACATAAAATTTTATTCACAGGCGTCACAAACGACTTCAGCAAGTTGTTAACAAAATTGGGTGAGCATGAAAAATATACGAAGAGGATTTATAATTTGACCTCAGTATAACCTTCCTTTCCATTTATGTACAGGTGCATCGCAAGTCGAAGATCCATCCAAATGTAGTGTATTGGTTACAGACAAAGTACGGAGAACTTTTAAGTTTTTGTGCGCATTAGGACAATCTGTACCAATAGTTTCGATTGATTGGTTGCTTGAGAGTGAACGAGTTGGCCATTTTTTGGATGTAAAAAATTATATACTGAAAGATCCTGCTGCTGAAGCTAAGTTTGGCTTCAAGTTAAGGGGAAGTTTAGAAAAAGCAAAGGATCAAAAACTATTAGAAGGATACACTGTAGTATTAACACCCAACGTGGCGCCTCCACCCTTACCAGAATTAAAAAGTATGTTTCTTATGTTAAAAATTATTGATTCTATTGACCGTATATATTTGAAAAAAATTAACGTTTTTACAGGTATAATTACTTCCTGCGGTGGCAAACCATTAGTACGACCACCATCAACATGGCCACAAAAAGCAGTGGTCATTTCCCAAGAGAGCGATTTAACGAATGCAACAAAATTTATCGCGAAAGCGCCAAAAACTGTCACTGTTCAATCAACAGAATTTTTATTAACTGGTATTTTAAGACAGGAGTTAGATTTTAATAAATACAAGCTAATGTAACTTGTTTCAATCATGGCGTTTTTTACAAGCAACACGAAGATTTCATAAATCGGAAGTAACATGTATCATAAGTGATATGTGCAGTCTATTTGTATATAATTATTTTTTAAATATTTTTACATACATAGTTCCGTACAATTGAATTACATTGCGTCGGATTTGGTGGGCGATATTTTAATTTTTCAATGCATAAATATGTACATATATGTATCTCACAAAAGTTGTAAAAATTTGGAAACGTATATAAATTTGTATAACATTTGTAATATATTTGAACACGAAATTGGATGAGAAAGAAATGGTTGGAGAAGGTTAATACAATAGTAAATGACCACGTTTTCACTAATTATTAATTTTTATTTCTTTTGTTATAATTACACATTTTAATCATTTTGAATACATTGAACTTTCTAATTGACTTAAAACAATAATAAAGTCATGTAAAGTTAACGAAAATTTAAGTTATGTCTTCAAAATGAATGCAACTTTTTAATATATCCACATTGAATACAAAATTTTCGCAGATTCAAGTAAATCACTATATACTACAGTCAGTACTCATATTTCAAAGTAGATACTTGAGAACTATGAAGTTTCACAATGTGCGTCAATCCAATATACACATATCAACTTCCTATCGTATCACAAAAACTCTAGATTCTGGTGATCTTGGATCAAGAGTAGTCTAACTAGGAAATATTTATCCTAAAAATGATAGGATATACCATGAGAAATAATGATGATTACAAGATGCTGCCTATTCTTTTACTAAGTACTAATGATTATTTATTCTAAGCAAGAATATTATGTTTAGCTACTAAATGCATTGCTGAGAATGAAGGAAATAAAAAAAAATTGTTCCTTATTATATATTCAAAAGATTTTAGTCTGTCAAAATTGACAAACAAACACTTCTTCGAATAATAAGACAGCAAACTTCAAGGTCCTGAAACAGAAGAACAAAATAAATGTTAAAAAAACGTAAAATATTTCTAGCCGTGTATTTCGAAAACATTGTTTCTTTTTGATCTCATTGCAAAGGACTAAAAGGCAACAAGTGCCGAGTAAGAAATGAGTCACCTTTAAAATGGTTGCGCAGTTGTGAAAAAAAAAGAACAAAGAACAGTAATACCCACAGGCTACTTTCAAAGGCAAATGATAATACGCGACTAAAAATAGCTTAATTTCAAGACGTTAACTCTACGTTACGTGAGAATACACGAATTTATGAATAGTTCAAACTAGACGTACGCAGTTAAACATCATTACCGTAAACACTCGCTAATCTGGCCAAGGTTGCGCACTCCCCGTTTGAATTCGAATCAATAACGTAACTCAAGCAACAACGCGTCAGAAATTACGACGTATTTTATAAACTTTCTTTACTTACAATTTATGCCTTGGTTTTTCCAGCATTTCGTTTGTTATGCTCGGAATTCATCAATTTGGTCAGGATCTTTCTGGAATGGCCGCTCGGATCGAAATGATTTGTATGTGTCAGAGCTTCGCGTTTGCTTCTTTGTTTACCACTGTGGCCAGTAAAGATATGCTTGTCGTAATCGTAGTTGAAATGCTCGTATTCGTCAACGTAGTAGTCAGACATAGCTCTTGAATTTTCAAAAAAATATACTTTGAAAGTAACAGCGGAAACACTGCCGAAACGCTTTCACGCTCGCACTGTTGGTTCAATATTCTCTCGATGCGACGGCTCGCGGTTCCTTATATAGCTTGCTCCAAAACTGCTACGCATGCGTAACTTACAGTAACGTCTCTTGCATTTTCAGTGCCTGACGCGAATATTTTTTCGCCCGTTCAATCCTTTTACCAATTTATTTTATAATATAAACAAGCATTAATTCAATTTATTAAAATCGAGAATCATAGATATACTCGTCATGGGCCAGTTGGGATGCGATTAAATGAAATTAATGTGAAAACGCATCGGTAGAGAATGTTCTGGAACTCAAATTCGTATTTGAAACGTTCGACGTGTTACCGGCTATACAGATTAACGGAACATTTGCGATGACTGCTGGAAAGTTCGTAACGTATATGGACGTTCAACGAATGATCTTTCAATAAATGATTCAGTGAAACACTGAACAAATTTTTCCAGATTCAACATATTGAGAGTGCCCTTTTATTACACATACATCATACATCGTCTTGTGGTATTGTATGCGACCCAACAATAATTGAGATTATCTAACATAGTAAACATTCGAAACGCTTCGTTTGCGAGGTATACACACGGCCCTGATAGCACAATTACGCAGTTTAGAAAACTGCACATATACAACTGTAATCTTGAAGTTTTTTTATTCCACATTGTTTTAAGCATTTGTTTGACTCTGGAAACAAGATACACATTGTTTGTGCCGCGTATTCTTACATGGACGAGCATCGATAATGCTCGAAAAATTCGACCTATATTGAATTACTCTCGTATGTAGTAATCAGTATGTTTGTCAACAAAACATTGGCGTTATCGCGTTTGCATTTGGTGCCTTATTACGTTTATTTCTAGAAGACTTCTTATCATAGCGAGTCCCACGTCGGTAGATGATCTATCTCTATCGTTTACAAACATGGAATGAAATAAATAACCGATATCAGTTGCGTTTCCTCTTTTTATGTTCCAGAACCACGTCGCACGTTCGATGAAAGAAGCTTTGATGATTCGATAGCCGCATCAACATTATGAAAGAATACAGAAGATATTCGTAACGATGATTAGGGGTCCAAAGTGAGAGGGTAATAGGATTAGAGTAAAAAGTATAATTTTGTAATGCATACAGCCATAGAATGCATTATAATTTCTATTAGGCGACTAGAACCTTCGAATCGGTATCATCAAATTTGAGGTTACATGGAGTCGTATAATCTGTCGAATGGTATCAGGGTTGGTGTATCGATATGCTCTAATTGGCTCTAATTATCAGATGCTAATTGGACCTCGTATACGAAAATGTGTGACATTGTGCACGTTCGTGCGATTGTGAAGACAGATGTGTTTATTTACGTCCCAAGTATCCACGTTACGTGTACCGTGACACGTTGTAGCCACAGGTGTGTAGAATATGCTTGAAACGTATTTTAATGTATCTTAATCATTTGTCATAGTTGCGATATTAATTGTTTCTGAGAATTTTTTTGTGTATAACTACTTGGCTGCCTGGCATAGCTAAATATAGAGGATTACATTAAAACACAACAAACAAACTTCAAGTTGTTAGGAGGTAGAGTGTGTTATAAATTATAATGGGTAGACTTAAAATTGACATTACTTTTAAATTTCTGCTATTGCTTATCGGGGATATGACTCAACGAGCTATGAAAACATTGCACCTTGGGGCGTAGCATGTTTGTTCAAGGTTATAAATAAAAAAAATTAACCGCGACATTGCTGCACTTGTGCCACATGTGGTAGGTGCTTATCATTTTCTCAGCATATGGAAGTTGAAACGTAGTTTTTTAGCTGTAAGGCAATACGAAACTGTCAGAAATTGTCGACTATGTGAAATTAGAATCGGTCGGGAGCATACCGCGTACGCGTATAATCTCGTTATGCGATTAATCCTGTTACCTGTTACTGTATAGTTCAGTATAGTTAGGTAGAGAATGTCAAAGGCTGCGAATGTATAGCAACATTGAACGCCATCTACGACCTACCATTTTAGTCTCTCCTCCGTGAATATTATACATGTTTACGGTCGAGCCGTTGCATTCCATTTTTCTAAACTTTATTTGTAGAAACATCTATAACTGGAAAGTACAAACTACTTTCTCGAAACTATTAATAGATTTATAGAAATTGATATTCGTCGTTATAGCGAACACACAAATGAAGTAGAAAACATAATACAATAATAAAAATGAGCTGCACGGAGCCCAACAAATTATGTAGCCGGATAGTATCGACTATTGCTTTGCTCGTTCGCATTGAAATTTTCTAGAACATTCTACGATTGTCCCCTCGATCAATAACGCGGTACAATTCCGTTGGCGTTACGTTTATGAAACAAAGATCGTTTGTATCGCATGTTCAGTAAATTTTACATACCAGAATATGGTAGATTGAAACGTAAAAGAAAATGAACGAATTACGTGTAGAGGTAACACGTGGAAAAACTTTATTGAGAACATTCAAATTCGCACAATTTCATATAGGACAAATTTTATAACGTAGTTTTCAAAGTCAAAGATTTAAAAATTTAGTGTCGAAGAATGAAACAATACTTGTAGTCAACATTGGCTTTTATGTTTAAAGACCTATACCTTATACTGGAAGATAATGTTTATATATTATCGATAATTATTCGAATGGGTTTAATCGAACCCGTACACGTCACCGCCCTTTCGAAAGTCCGCGTTCGCATAAACGGTATTGTTATCAACGAAAATTACACACGCCACGCTACCGCGGATTCTGTATCTCGCGGTTTTGTGACCTATCTTCTTTAAACCATCTATCACTTGCTTTGGAATGCCGTATTCGTAAGCCACCTCCTTTGGGAACAGTTGATGATGTATTCGCGGTGCGTCCACGGCCTCCTTCACCGTTTGTCCCATCCACATGATCTTGGCCGCTATCTGAAATTACGAAACGCATAGCTGATTCTTCATTCTTTCTTATTTCCTGTAACACTGTCCAAATACTAACTTGAGAAACAGTCGTGGTGATCTTAGTGCCACCAGAGGCTCCGATGACCATTTTCACGTTGCCATCGGAGTCAACCAAAATTGAGGGTACCATCGATGACAAAGGTCTCTTTCCAGGCGCAATGTAATTATTTGGACTAGGTGGAATGTTGAAGTAGTTGATCGTCGATGGTATACCGAAATCATTCATTGCGTTGTTTAGTAATATTCCAGTACTTTCACTGGTTATTCCACTTCCAAAGCTACCGAAGTAAAGAATCGTTTGGAATAGATTAGTTTTCTTGTGCTACCTTGGAAAAAAACGGAGCGATGAAGTACGTGTCTGCTAAGCGAACATACTAGAAATTAATTGTACCAGTGGCTGATACTGCGTCTCCATTCGGTGCTAATACTGAAACGTGCGCGGTTCCTTGATCCTTCGCAACGCTTAGCGTAGATGCTCCATAATGTTTTGGATCATCCCACGTTCTATGATCGTCTATCTTCATTCGAGTTTTGTACGCGTAGCTCCTCGACGTCAGGTTCTCGGTTAACTTGGAGAAACGAACCATAATGGCAAGTTAGAAAATAATTCAGTTGCAAGACTCGTGTGTTTATTTTATTTGGTCACGAGTTTACTCACTTCCTTCATGTCAACGAAGTCTTTATCAGCCATGTCATTTCTTAACGCGTAAGCGTACTTGAATGTTTCTATGATTCTGTGATATGTAAGAATCGTTCGGTTGTAATCGGCTATGCTATCGGTGGAGAATTGAAAATTATCTAAAATATTTAAGATATACGTCAGCAGACCCCCGCTGGCAGGCATACCGACAGTGTACACTTTTACTCCATTGGAGATATTTGTCTGCAGTGGCTCTTCCCACGTCGCTCTACAAGTAATTACTATTTAGCAGCCTGCAAATAGTTTGTAATATTCAGTTAATTCGATAACATCTACCTATATTCGTTCAAGTCTTTCATCGTTATTATTGACCCTTTTTCTTGCAAATCTTTCACTAGAAGCTGGCCTATGGTACCGTTGTAGAATTCTGACGCGCCGTTTTCAGCAATCATTTTCAGGGTCTTGCAAAGTACCTTTGGCCTGATAATTGATCCTGGTTTGTAGAAATCATTAGTCTGCGGATCGACGAACAACTGCCTGAAAATAAGTATATTTTATAAACGCTATACCGTCAGAGTAGTAAAAAATTAATTAAAGTGGATGTGATTACTTTAGTACGCGATCCTTGTAAATATTCTGCGAATTATATCTGAATCCGTCGTATTGGATATTTGTCAAGTTGTACCCTTCCTCGCACAGGTCGATCGTAGGTTTGAATAAATCAGCCCAAGGTAATCTACCAAAACGTTTATGAGCTTCCCAGTAACCTGCCACTTCTCCAGGAGTGCCGATGGCTAACGGACCTGATGGTATTCGTGGAAGTATCGATTTAAAATAATGTTTCATAGATAAAAAAAAAGAAAAAAAAAAGTAACTAAAAAGTATACCGATAAACGATGCTTCTTTGGGTTTTCCTTCAAACATGGTAGCATGGGCTGCCAAAGGAGCTCGATCCCTTGCGATCAATGTGTATGCACGTCCTGCCGCTTTATCGTAAATTGTCATAAAGAATCCACCTCCAATACCCATGCTTTGCATATTTACGAGACCGTTGCAAATCATCGAAGCTATAGTAGCATCCACCGCTGAACCATTTTTCTCTAAAATCGTTCTGCAAAGGATCGTGGTGGTATAACTTTTCGTGTTTGTTTAAGAGAGATAATACTAATTGTAATATATCGTCTTATATTTTACATACTTTCCAATAGCAGCGCATGGCGCGCCATCCGCGCAAACAGCCCCTCGTTTAAATACTCTCAGCTTACTCCACGATGGAGGTAAATTTTCTTCAGGATCAGGTGGTACTACTTCGTTTTCCTGTATTACCAACTCGCTGTTGATTCCATAAATACTGCAAATCGCTATTATCGCGAGAATCATCGTTGCCAATACTATACCAACTATTATAATATTTTTAGTTGTGAGGTAAAACCTGAAAATTAATCATTGTTGAACTATAACAAGATTGATCGTATTAGATTCTATGTCAAAATTATAATTTGAATTCTTTCGAAATAATATGCGCTTTGGCGGGAGCTATCGAAACAAATCGAAAGTTGATTTCTAGTAACGTTTCGATACGAACGCGTCATCGAATATGTACATCGAATTCTACAACTAATCGATTCTACGATCTCGATTTAGTCTACGAGTGAGAGTGCAACGAAGCGGTACTTTCTTATTATGGAAATCTTATTCAAGTAAATCCTTGATTTTTTTTAGTGGGTAATTGTCTAAATAAGTTATAATAAATACTATTCGTATAATGTACTAATCGAATCGATATTGATTTCAGAGTACTATAAGGAAATCATCGAAAAGAGGACCTGTGACTTCCAAGGTTACGTGGATCTCCACTTGGTGAGTGCACTTTATTGCTAATCTATTAATTCTACTGCAACCAGTTTATTTTGAATATTCATTAGTGGAGTTTGAACATATTATGCTTAACATATTGTGCAATAACGAAACACGCAAACTCAGATACAAAGTTGTTTATGCAGCGTTTGTGTGTCGAGCAGGAGAACTTGAATTTTTTTAGACTTGTGACGTTAAGAACGAATAAGCTGTTTCAATGTATTGCTTGCTTTCGTTCATTCTTGCATGACGTTTCTGAATTAACGTTATCGAATGTTATTTTCATTATGTGATATATCAACGTCAACAATGAGCGATTATTTGAAACCGCGACTTGTCACGCTGACGAATCAAACCATCTTTTGTTTTAAACGTGTTCGCGTACGATTGGCGAAAGCGCCATCTGCGCTGCATTTTAACACTTGAATTTTGAGAGTCCTTCGCAGTTTCGCATTGAAACGAATAAACAGAGCAGAGATAGATCAAATTTCATGGAATAATGGAGTACGTATAAAACGTTTATTTAGTTAGAAATGTTGCTCATCACGGAGTTACTTGTCTGAAAAGCAACTCACTTGTTGACAAAGTGTCTCGTGAAGAATCCGTTCGTTCTGTTGCGACCAGGCGAATACGAACGCAAAAGTCGAGCGGTTCCAACATCGTCCGAATCGAGGAAGTTTCGTTTGTCGTTGCCATAATACTGACGAACATCGTCGGTACTGGCGTACGCGGAACTGGTGCTGGACGAGGGTGACGAGGTCATGTTTTCTCTTTGCTACAAGAGAGAATCAGAAAACATGCAAAGTTAACCATTTTCTTATCGAAAAATTAATCGCTACCGCCATCTATCGACGATTCGACGGAACACGAGTTGACAGGTTCTACATATAGCGTTCTCGTTTTCGTATCACCGAACACTCACAATGCGAAGCAAACGATTCTTGATCACCATTTACAACCGATTAATCTTGTACCTTTCCCGATACCGTTTTACCGAGGACCTCTTTGCCATCTCGTTTCTACTGCTAGCTAAAATTGACCGTTGAAAATCGTACGAAACGTTAACCACATCGTTCGATGGCTGAACGTCAGCTGACCGGAGAAAATCAATCTGAGTTTGCGCGTTCGTTATCATTTGCGCAGGATTCGTCTCGTCGCGTGCACATTATAGCGATCCTTAGCTACAGGGGTCACAATTTTTTATTACATACCCCAACATTCTAACCAACGAGAACCGTTGGTTACATTTGAGGTTATGTTTTGAAGTTTTGGTGATTTACTAACATTTCTTAGATAGTAGTGTGATTAGTATGTGACTTTTAGAAATTTAATATAAATCTTTGAGGTTTAGACAGTAACACAATGTCTGTCTCATGTGCTGTAGATATAAAATGATTTTTTAAGTAAATATTCAAATAGAGACTCGTAGAATCTTAGAATCAGACTTGTACCTCCTACATGACTATATAATTGGAACATTGTATGGATCTGTAGTGTCTTGATAGCTCCTGAATAGCAATTACTGCACCTATCGTGGTTTCTTTACATCGCTTATGTTAGTTTGTTTTATTTTTATAGGTTTCTTCTGTTTCAATCTAATGAACATGGTTAAATAAATTGCTATAGTACATTTATTTGTTGATTTCTAAACAAATAATGTTGGCCCGTCTCTGGCCATGACCTGGCGGGACTCGCGCGAATTTAGCATAGCGGCGAACATATTAAGAGGAGTTTATATATCTGGGTCGTTGAGCGCGGACGAACTACAGGGAAGTGGCATGCAATTGCGACAATTTATAGCGAATATTCGACGATTATAGGAACCACTAAGCACTGTATAGTATGATTCAGGAGAACGCTTTGACGATTGCGCCGCCTCGTTTTATAACGTAACATGCTCTAAAAAGGTCACTTGATAAAAGAAATCTGAATTTGTATTTTTATCTCGCCAATAAAAACATTTTTTTTTTTGAATATACACGTCAGCAACGCCATCAACTATTATACATCGACATTTTCTCAGAGATAAAATAAAATTCGTAGAATATAAAGCATAACCGAGTACCATGCTCGTTTCAGTGCGCGGCAAGTATGCAAACTAGTGACGCCACTAGTTCGATAAATTTGATAAAACTAATAAATAGAAATACAGCATTAGAAAACATAATTTAGCCATCTTACCTCGGTTCTCTCCTCGTTTCTTCGATTTTCGCAAAACTGTGTCTCCGCGTCATGTTTCTTCAGTACTTCCAGACTTTAACGAATAGTTAAAAAGTTACGTTGTACGATTGTCGATCAGCGTAAATCATTTGGCCAAATACGAGCGAAGATAAAGGTATCGCAAAAATTCTCTCACGCACTTATGCAATACAAAATTAAAATAATTGGTCGCTGTGTCATAGTTTACAACTCCGAATTTCTATGTCCAAAGATATGCAGAACTAACGTATATGAATTGTTGTAGAAAGTTATTAGAATCTTAGAATAATTTACTTACTTCAGAAAATTCAAGTGTAAAAAATGTTGTGTTAGAGATCATGTAAGAAAGCGAGACAAACGGAAATGTCCTTGGCAGGCAATGGTGGGTTAACGAACTATAACTGTACACTTGAAGATAACCCACAGGACGAGTCGAAACGTTCAATGGATATTATTAATGTTGATTAATTTATTTTAACAAGCACTAGTCAGTGTCAGTCGGTATGAAGCAACTCCAAAAACTTTAGATCGAGACTTTAAATCAAGAAACTGCCCAATCAAATTTGATTTCTGGCCTTCATTTAAACTTGAGGTTTTCGTCCAAATCAATATACTAAATCGAATAGGATTTCGTTGTCTTTTCGAAACTTCAAACCAGAATAAAAAAGATTGTTCTTGGTACCTTGATTAGAGCTCGTGCATCTTCCTCGAGGTTGTTGACTCTTTCATCGCCGTCTTTGGATGGTACTAATGATACACTAGGCCCAAATACGATCTTGGAAATAACGTTAGACACGATCTGTCGACGAAAAACGAAGCCGTAAACGTACGAGTAAACCTGTTGCGACTTGGGACATCAAACGTGTCGTCCCTGCACGCGGTTTATCACGCAGTGCTGCGGCGAGATTGTTCGCCGTGCGGCTGAACTCTCGACGAAAACATCTCGAAACGTGTTTGCGAGGGCCCGATCGTGGTAGAAGGGATCGGTTTCTTGCCCCCCGCCATTGAATTTAATGCCCCTTATTTGAGTTCCAGACGACGGAGGACAAGGTTGCGTTCGAAGACTCGGGGAACCCTAAATGGAGGCCTTGTTTCTCGCATTGAACTCTACAGTGGTTTCACGCCACGCCCACGCACACTTTTTGTAATATCAAATGGATCACGAGCTTTTCTGGTCGAAAAGGATATGGTATGCGTGAGTCGACGGCTGCGGACCGTTGCTCCCGCGTTCCTTGAGTCAACGTACGGGGATTGAGAAGTCTGGTAGAAAGTAGCTGGAAATTAAACATTGGGTATCAGAATTCCTCTCCAAAAGAGAATAACACACATTTTTTGGAGGGTTTACTCGATCAAATGTTTTTCACTCCTACGAGAGTCCTCTTCGGATTTGTAATTCTAGAATACAGAATTTTAATTCTGGTTGCAACGTCCACGGCAGGAAATTTTTCAAAATAATAGAATCAGGTTTCAGTGGCATAGGCAGATACGTTTATAAAACAACATAGAACTGAACTGTCTTTCAAAGATAGAATATATTTTATTATATTATCATGATCGCGTTATCCTTGATTTGAGAAAATGATTTTTATTCTACCTAAAGATAGCCACTCAATTTTTATCTGCGTCTACGTTTCTATTACAGTACATGGATCGTTCCACGTTGTTTCACATTGATTAGAAGATATACAGTTTGAAAATTGTATTCGCGAGAACACGTTCGACGAACATGTCATCCCGGGATGATAATTCGATAGCAGTGTCGGGTCGAAAATCTGCCAGTCGAAATTAAGTTTGGAGCCTGATTACACACACAAATGAGGTTTGAGAGTTAGCGGTTGTGCGGTCCATCGACATGAAAGCATCCAGGGGCCATCCTCCCTGGGAATCTATTGCAAGTTTGCATGGTAGTTGAAGACTCGCGCATAATAGCGATTCGCAAAATGTCAAGTTTAGTCATTTTATCGTGCACCTTGTTAAGCGACGGGAGCTGAAAAGTTGCATACAATGCGCTGTCGTTATCGTAGTACCAGATAATAGCACCGCATCGATTTTTTTCCTTAACGAGTGTTTACCGTACAAACGAAAGAAGTGAAATGGGAATAAAGTATAAGACATTAATGTAAAAAAAACGCGATGGGTAAACTTATCATCGATGAAATTATAGAAATAATTCATCGGTAATAATTGCCTTTTATCTCATCTTTCGTCGACTTCAATGGAACGAATGTGGGGAAATTTGATGCACTAGCAAGTGGAAGGACGTTGGTAATAAAAATGCAATGTTATGTTGTATCAAGACTGAGTATGATAATAAATTTAAAATGGTACATGCCATCATTAATCGAACCGTGGGAATAATATTAAAGGAAAGTAAAGAACAGGAAGCAACTAATGCTTTTCAAATAATTTCTTTATTTGCACTAACAACATACACTCAGACATCGTTTTAGGTGGTGATACCTTATTATTAACATTAACGCAACACCCGAACCCCATAAAGTTCTTCACGCCGGAATGTTAGGTACAGTAACACGCCGTGTCAACGGAAGTCGACAAACGACGAGATCGCTTTATCGTGCTCTAATTGACGAATTTAAAAGCCATAGCTCGAGCACGCGAATTAAAGATAAATACATTCACGTGGCTTCCAACATCAACTTGTACGGCTCGACGATGGACAGCTAGCTGATCTTTAAACCGAGGAAATTGCGTTTTCCTCGTAATGAGATTTGTACTTTTTAGATGTTCTAATTTAGACCAATTTTGACTCTAAAGTATCTCCTCTAGTTTTACCCGCGATATTCTATCAAAGGGATGAAAATGAACATGGTTGGTACTTCACGTGTTGTCAGGAACTAAAACGTTTTGGCTTGTACGTGCCTAATCGCCACGGGAGTACACAGACGCACGCATACAGATGCTCGCGCACACAATCTCGCGTTCTACAAAATCTTTGAAACATCAATTCCAGTAACCACCAGGATTAACGTCGGTTAACTTTGGGTGATTCTTCCTACACCTAAATTGCATATTATCACCGTGTCGGTGCAAACACAGTAGTCGATCACAATTCACAAACAGCTGTACAAACTTCGCTAGTAAAAAGAGTTCGCACGATGATACGCCGCTCTTCGTTAACGTTTATTAGTCGTCCGCGTGATCGCTTCAATGCTTCCATCGTTTGTTATCAATTACATGGATCAGCGACCGCGCGCGTTAATCCAACTGCAGGTCGATCGCGAAATTTCCTCAACGAACGATGAATCGTCTAATTTTCTATTCCTATTTCGACGCGTGACTATGCGAATTTTCATTCCTCGAAGAACCGAGACGTCTGTCGGTGTTTTTCAATGAAATTAACGTCGAAACGTGGTTTTTATTCCTCGCAGAAGACAGAAATTTGACAATAACGCTCGTATACAGTGCATACAGTTTATACACGTATACTTTCCGAAATAATAATCAACAATCATGTGCGTCGGACATACAAGTATTATGATTATGATTGTCAATTGTTTTTGTTCGTCGAGTATCGTATTTTACATGTTCATTGTATTAGCGTTGCACGAACAGAGATATAGAATCCAGAAAAACAAACTTTGAACTTCTTCCTTGTGAGAGCAAGTACGCGCGTTTTATTCTTGAATCGATAAAAATATCACAGAAAACAAAAAGCGTTACGGTATATACATAAATAAAATTTATTTACAATAGATACACAAATTAATTTAGATTAAACTAAAATAAATTAATCTCTTTCTTAAAAAAATATATATGACTACTTTATCGAGCTATACATTATAGACAAACGATTGCATCTGTGTTAAATACTTATTGCACGGTTAATCGGACTTAGAACCGAAGACGAACATCAAATTTCTCTCTTTTACTTTGTTAGGAACATCAAGAAACGGTAGGAGATATTATCGTACATCGTTTTGCAAAGGGACGAGAACGATAATTGTTAGAAATTCGTACCCAAACGATTCGTGGAACCGCGGTTTAAAACGTTTAGGATTCGTCGAGTGATCTCTGAAAGTGGTCAGCAACCTGATCGTAGATCTTCCGATTATTTACTAAATAAGTGCATATCGTAGTGAGTCGATCTAGATTCTTCAGTTTATAATCGGAGAGAACCAGTGACGATTTAGCTTACGTTATTCTGAAAATGACGAAAACCTAATTTCCTATCAATGCTTCGAGGTCCTAACAACAAACATTGTACGAGGAATCTTGTCTCCTCCTTCGAGGAGGTTGCCGACCCCTGGTCCACTGATCGGATCCCGTAGATTCGTAAACACCTCTGCTGTCGAAAGAACTTTCTCGGGCGTTCGTTACTTCGTCGTGCCATTTTTCACCTCGCGAGTTTTCCTCGACCAAGTTCCGTCGACGAGTATCGTCGGCGTAGCAGCGAGGAAAATTATTACAACGAGCCGGCGCGAAACTTTCCTGGGTAGTTGTCGCCGCTTGTACAAGGATGATTGGGCGATCAACTTTCCACGGAGTTGCCTGGGACAAGTTTTTCGTCGAGATTACACTGGCCGCGTTTAATCAGCCTCCACGCCCTAAGGGGCTTGCGAGTCTGCTCGCGAGCGCGTCTCTAGTCGCGGTTTTGTCATTTACGCTGCTCTCTTCGTCGAGTAGGAAGTATAAAAATATAATTTCAGGATATGTCGATATATTGCGAGTGATATCGAGCATAAGGGGGTCAGCCTCGAGTCGCGACGTTTCTTAAAAAAATAACACGCTCCATCGTGAACCGTGACGCTCGATCGGGGGAGTGCTTCGCGAAATCGTCACGAGTGATTATCATTCGCGGTTGGTTCGAACGAGCACGTGGACGTCTATTGCCTCGATTGGATGAACGATAAAAAAAAAAAAAAGAAACAATTGGAAAAAATTAGAGCGAGCAAGGTACGTTCGAATCGAGCTTAAGAGGACGAGGCGAGAAGAGGCCTGCGCTGCGCCGCCTCTTTGCAATCCTGAGGAACGTCCGGCTTGCGAATCGTTCTCGATTTCCGCCTTAATTGCTTGCACTTTTGTTCGTCCGTTTCCTCCTCGATCTTCTCGAGATTGTCCTCCTCCATACTTTTTTCTGCCATTTCCTTGGAGTCGATGTCGTCGACGCTGCTCCAGCTGTTGTCGCTCTCGCTGCGATCTCTGTCCCTCTTGTTGCCGTCTGGCTCCTCCTTGCTCTTATCACGGTAGCCTCCGTTCTCCTGTGAGCACGATTAACCCTTTATGTGCTATACCAGAGTTCGATTCTCACGCTTACCATCATGGTTGTGTTTGTTGGCATAGTCGTGGTGGTGGTCGTAGCAGTCGTATCCGTGGTATCGCTGCTTTGGCTGTTATTGCTCGGTCTGATGCCGACCAAAAATGCCCCCTCCTCCGAATTCTTCCCCCTCGCGAACCTTCGCGACGACGGCCAAATGTCGGATGTATTTTTTACATTGCCTTTGGCCAGTTTCTGCGCGACTCCCGTCGTCCACACGCTCGCTTCGCTGCTGCCCGTGCTGCTGTCGCTTCCGGTGCTACAATGTCGCCATCTCCGTTCTTTTACATCATAGAAAAGAGCAAGTGTGAATGTCTGCTATTCGTGTCCTTAGCAATTCTACGACACTGAGAAAAACCGGCAATGAAAGCTAGCGATAACGTGAAGTGACAATAAGTGAGCGATGCTCAAATTTTCTTTGGTATCGTCGAGTATTTCGGGAATCGATCGATCGTAAACGTAGGACGATGTAATCTAGGACGATTACGCGAGCCCTCAGGAGCTGCAGCTATGTTTGATTGTAGCTACAGTACAGGTTTAGCAATCCCGAGGTACCCGAGCTATATATAGGAATATTAAAATTGGCTATAGAATCTTCCAAAGATTGATCAAAGGACAAAGTGTCCACCGTGACGCTACCACGATCCCTATGACCCAGTTGAAATAGCTGATAAAGCTTACTATCGCTAAAGCTAAAGACATACTATCGCACGGAAGAGCATTCGAGAGGAAGGGCTTCCTCAACAGTGGACTTCCTCCGTCCTGGCTGTCCTCGCTGCATGCTCGGGTAATGAGGATCCTTGGACTCCTTCTCGGGGTTTCGTTCATCGCTATAGAGCATCCAGTGGCCGCGTCCGCTCCGATGAAATCGCTTCGATAATGGGGACCCATCAAGCTGACCGCGCTCGCACTAGGTCTGACCAGTTTGCTACCTTCGCCTTCAGGGTTTAAAGAAGCGTCCCATCATTTCTCGGCGGGAAAGTGAGCGTTTCGGATGAAATTAAGGAATTCATGAAATGGGAAAACGAATCGAGACTCGTCGCCAACCTGATTCGGAAGTTGGCACTCGAAGCGTGTTGCACGAGGCAGCAGGCTGCAGCCTGGTTCGATGAAATCCGAGATTGTTGGTCTCGAAGCTGTTCCCAGCTCTGCAGGAACCCAGCGCCAGCAACGCCTCGCTGAGCCTTCGTTGCAACGGTGGAAACGGGAAGAAAGAACCTGTTCCACTCACGGACGGCCTTCTCGATCCTGCCGCACTCGGTGTCCTTGCCTGGATCTCCTAAATTAGAACTGCTATAGACGCCAACCATTTTCAGTTATCGTACTCGGGGAGAAGGAGACGTGTCAACGCGTGGTAGAAAATTGTGCAACGTATCGCGGAATGCGATCATTTTCTCCATCTCTGTACGAGTCTACAACTTTTGCAACGAGTCCGCATTTAAATAGATCGCTGGGCGTCTTACAAGCGCGCGATTTATTCACTTCGACGCTTTCTCGAATCCCCCCCCCCCCTCCCCAACCTTCTCGGCCCATTAAAATGTAGTTTCGATATTACTCAAACGTTGATCGCGGCCCGTTGAGTTCTCGGAAAGGGCGCAAAGAAAGAAAAGGAGTTAAATGGAACGAAATTGGCTGAAATTGTTCCGAGATCGAGGTCATTACTTGCTGCAGCTCCGACTTGGTCGCCTTTTTCCGCCAGTAGTTCTGCACAGATCGTCTAAGAGTCTGTGATTTTAAGCCGTAGAGGAGCCCGTTGATAGGTGGAGAACAAGCGAGTAGAAGGGAGGCCAACGAAGCCAGCTTCGGGTGATCGTGGAGGTGAGGTTGATTGCCGACGCCGCAAACCTCCCAAAGGATCAGGCCGCAATACGGGAAATAAAGCAGGTACAGGGAACCGACCAGTTGCATTACCTAAAAATTTAACTCGACTGCACACGGGCTCGAATTCCGTTGCATCCGACGACAAGGGAATAAAAAACGACAGCAGCGTGAAATTGCAACGTTAACAAGATGATCTAAGCGTTGCTTATACGCGGCTGATAGCGTTCAAACGTTCTCTGCAGCAGTTAATTCATCGCAAAAACAAACCAAGCATCTGGTCTGTCTGCCTGACGGAAACTTAGCTTTCAGGGGCGATTTTAAGACCTCCTCCAATCAACCTGATCAATTTAAATCCAGGGAATCGACGCGTTCGGTTCATCTGCTATAATTAAAAATTCAATTTAACTTTTCAATCGGATGAAACGCAAGCACTGCCAAAGTCGAGTGCCCGGAGTTAATTAGAACTATCGATCCACGAAACCGAAATTCGATGTCGCGAAATTCTCCCTTCGAACCATTATAGACTACGGTCACATTAAATTCACTAGTTACTCGATAAGGTAACGTTGTTAACATCCCGCAACGCACACTGCTGTCATTCATGGAAGCCTATCGTATAGCATACACAAGAAGAAATAATTCTGCGTAAACGTTACAGTTACGTCAAGCACTTGTTAATCCGTAATTAATCGTAAACCACAAGAATGCCCTTCTTCGAAATCACGCAAGCGTCTGGGATCTCGAGGTTAATTGAAATTCCATGAGCGTCCAACGCCAAAGTCAACGTCAACTCGAAAATTCCAAATCTGAAGTTAATTTCAAGGATCCCAAACAAACAAACAAAAAAATGTCCGACAGTCGCAGTGAAACATTCCAAACCAGAGACACCGCTCGAAATGATCGTCGGGTCTCTACGCGCGGCTTTTGGGTCGTAATTGCGAGCCGTGGGCTCGAAGACTCGCCGTCGACGGAACGATGTCCAGGGAAAAGTGGCTTCGCGCAGAGAACGTCACGCAAAGGGAGAATTATGCGGTGCTGGTAGACAATTACGCTAGCTGGAAATGTACAAACCGTGCTGGCCGCGCTGTGAAAACGGGGTGGGCTGACTGCAGAGGGTGCCGTGACAGTTGGGACGAAAAACGGATTCCGCTGGTGGGTGATGGTCACCTGGGCGCTCAAGGTGACTTCGTAAATTGCGCTGGCGATGCGGTGTCGGTGATAACGCGCTATGCCGAGTACACGCAAATTGCAGACGGTGACGAGGACTGCAGGCAGTGCCAGACCCAGAATCGCGTACACTGCTCCGTAAAGTACCGCTGCGAGGCCCCAGGAGGAGTTACCAAAATCCGGGGCGCAGCAGCCCAGACCCGGACTGTATCTGCATGTGACAGCAAGAACGAAGGTCCAAGTGGTTATGTTGGATAGGGATTTGGGAAATAACCAAAAACAAAAAATTTCGTTTCATATAAAATATTATAGAATATTAGAAAACACTGTTAGCAAGCCTTTCAGTTAAAAAAGATAATATTTATAGCCACTGTTATTCTGTACTTAATCATACCTGACGCTATCAGCTTGTGAGCAGTGCAAGTCGGACAATATCTTATCCATACTTAAAACGTGAACGCGTTTGCCATTGGAAATTTATGGAGCAGTCTTTTTAATCCCCCGAGCAATCATTTACGTTTAAACCACGGAAAGCGTTCTCCTCCTTCCCCTCTCTGTACGCGGAAACTTCAGACAGTACCGAAACGTAATTTTGAGAGTTTAATTAATTGCAGCTTCGGCGCGGTGAAAAGGCTCAACGGAAATGAAATCCCGCGAGCAGGAGAAAGCAGACCAAACTTGTTTGTTAATAAGGGAGCCGGGCTATTAACTGGAATAATAACCCTAGTTCTCGCGGTCTCCTTTCCACGCAAAGAAGCAATTATCGGTTCTTTAGAAACGACACGCTCGTTCTCGCGCTCGCGACAAGTTTCGCCGGCCACGAACCACGCAGGGTGGAAGTTCGTTATCAGCTCGCGGTTCCTTTGAAGGTTCACGGCCTTATAAATAAAAGAACGAACCTGTAAGGTGGGACCAGACCGCAGAAAGGCAGCAAGCACAAAAGCAGCGCCCCTGTCCAAGATGCAGCCAGACCGACTGCAACCCGTCGTGGCGAGACCAATGCAGCGTAGTGCAAAGGCGCGGCTATCGCGTAATACCTGCGCAAAAATCGCATAAATGCAGGTTACGGGATCGACGGGATAGGCGGAACAAAAGTAGTTCTTTTATGAAACAAGGAGAAATATGATTGGTACCGTTTTCCACGACTTTAACTCGCTTTTATTTAATTTTTGTAGTTGATACATCACTTTGTACCCCAGTTCGAGTAAAGAGTAATTTTAAATCGCTGACAGTGTGTTGGTGGAACCCGTCCGAAACAGCTACTCTTGAGTGATCGGTCTAGAATCGGCGGTATGTAATATGCGCGCATGAATAATGAATAGGGGGATGAAAAAAAAAAAAGACGAGCGCGAAGGTCGCAACGCTGACGGAGAGGAATGCAACCGCTTAAATCCACGGATAGCTTCTTGAATAAAATATTCCCTTCGATCCAACCGAAATCAGGACCTGCGATATTTCCAGGCGACAAAAGAGCAACGCGTCTCTGTATTTTTAACCGAGTTTTCATCCCTATATACAACCTTTCGGTGCACTCCAAGTGTCGCGATATCTGTCGTAGGTAGAGATACGAATAATCGACAAGTTAAGGAAAATGTAAGACCACCGTGCTGGAAATGTTTTAAAGAAAGAACGGCAAAAGAGATTAGGCGTTAGGCGTGTCGATCACCGAGTCGCGCAAGGCTAACTGCATCGACAGGGGTGTGATTACTCGTCCAATGGTTGGTTCTAGACAGTGCCATTTCAGAGTTTAATATTTAACTAAAAGTGCGAGAAATTGGTCAGTGGGTCATTGTCGATTACTGGCACGTTTACCCTATTCCTGACCTTTTCATTGAGCGTCCGCGATTTTATTCCATTCCGTCTGATATCGACAGCAAACGCCGATACACGGTGTCTCGCATTCATTCATTATCGATGAACGTCAGAGATCCTCGCGACCGTATCGGGCAAAAATTCGTTCGAATAATAGATGACGAATAAAAAGAATGCTCACAGCAATCTCTGGATTCTACTAATACGAGCCATACTGTAATTGTACGGTTCTAATTATAATACCTATTATTTCTTCTTCTATTATTTGATATTCTCAGTTGTTATCAGTATACGTATTGTGCTATCTGTATCAGAGGCACGTTTCACGGGGTGATTTAAAAGGCATTTTCCGGGTCTTTCACGATTTGTCGCGAAATTTCAGATTGAATCGAAGATCTTGCGTCGGTTGACGACCAACGTGATATCGGCTGAATACGCCGAGGACCTCTATCGACATCTTAGCGTTGAATGGTTCGCCAGCTTTGTACCTCGTGAAACCACGTTCCCTCGAACGTAACCGTCGCTTAGGATTCGACTCGATTTTTATATCACGTATTCCACGTGATAAAGCACCTCCGGAATCCAGATCCATCGGCTTACCGACTTTGCGGTCGAAGGATCGAACTCTTTTATGGATACAAATCGCGTACTCTGCTGGAAATCCCGCTTCGTTCTGACAAACATTCTTCAACGCAGAGACCATACGACGTGTTAGGTGGATGGATAACTGACAAATATTTTCACCCCAGATATTGGACACTTTATAAAATATCAAAAAGTGGGATTAGCTGTAATCCTCTAAGAGCCGAATTTTATTTTCTACAGGCAACCTTACTAGACATTTACTTTGACATTTCGAGCTGATGGTGTTATCAGAGACATCGTAGATTATCCTGTGAGAAAACTAAGATTTGGAAAAACCTCGATATATTAGCATGTGACCTGAAAATTACACGGGCCTAGAGGACTAACTATACTGATTGCCCACCCATGGTACCATTCCGCTTGTATTATTCAAAAAGTCGTTCTCTCCCCTACCGATACACGTAATGAGTTTCAAGAGGCTCGGGCTTCAAAAGCAATAAGTTCAATTTATTCGTTATCGGACAATTTTGCATCGATTATGCAACCAGCAACACTAGAAGTTCCCTCCTCCTCGCGAGATTAAACGAACCACCCTAGGAGTTACGTAAGACGTATCGAACCGCTGCGTGGGTCGGAAAAAGAATAAAAAAAAACAAACTTGAACGTCGATGAAAAGTTTCCAGCGGATATATGGTCGGGATGAGAGAAATATCGCGAGACTCACCTGTCGCAGTTTAGTCCAGTTACGGTCCAGAGGGCGACTGGGTGTAAGAGGGCCAAGAGGAAACCGTGTAGCACGCACCAGGTGCCGGCGATGGGCCAGGAACCAGTGGCGAAGATCAGTAATATCAGGCAGACAGCCGCCTCCACCGCGCCCAAGTGTGTCAACAACAAAGTATTGGCTGTTTGTTGCTGCTGCGTCTGTGGACATCGCGGCGATACGCTGTTAAACTCGTTAACGTAACTTTTCCTATTCCCGCCCCGTCAGAAGTTCTCGCTCCGGGTTCTTAATCACGAGCGAGAGTTTCGAAATTTACGCTTCTCGCCGTTTGCACGCTATTCGACGCTTTGCTTCCCCTGGAACCCTTCCCCTTGGTCATCGACGACGATACGTTTTAAGCGTTAGAAAGCGTTAGGTTGACCAAAAATATCGTTCGGTTTGGGTGTCCATTGTTTAACCTCTTGAGCGGCGAATTTTAATTAGGATTTTCGATAGAACAAATTGGAGAATAAAATATTTTCTCGTCTAAAACAAATCGGGTTTATACGTTAAAATTTTCTTAGCCTTAAATGGTTAGCCAAGAAACATCCTATATCTCCCCTAAGTATCGCTCCAGTATTTTCTCACGATCCAATAACGTGAGGGAGCCAGTCTGGGAAGTACGACAGTCGTTTGTCCCCGTTGAAAAGAAAATTCAACCAGGAAGAATGCAATACAATCACATTTACCGAAAGCATCTCAAAGCTCTAGGAACGCATTCCACACGACCTACTTTCTCAGCTGTCATTCAGTGTCTCGGCCTTCGATATTATATCGAAAACCGTGCGATCTTTTCCAACCACCGCCACCACCATCGCCACACAGCTTCGACCTGTCATGATCAGCGAGTAACGCTTAGTGAAACGATTCGTGTAAAAGCGCGAGGCTATTTCCAGGGTGGCCACTCTCCTTTCCGCGAGTTTCATTTCTCGTTTCGAGAAATGTGTCATGCTTGCGAAAGGAGTGGCTCTCTTACAGGGGGAGAACAAAATGTTTTAAAAAGGGTGGGATTACCGCGATCGGGAAAATCGCGCCTCATCGAACTCTGCGAATCCATTTCAAATCCCGTTAACCCCGTATTAATTTCTTCGCCGGGGATTGAAAGACTCTAATAGAAAAGCTTCGGGAAATCCAGCTGTAAGCGGATCAGGGTTTATATATATCGTTTCTTATATCCTTTCATTCCTGCAAAGATGACGTATTTCGATCTATGATCATTTCATTCGGTCCTACGACGATCTACACGGTTATCGAACCGTTTATCTGTATCGTCATCTGGGATCACGAGAGACAACATTTTATTGAAATCGATTGTTCTATATTTTGCAGTTCGTCTAATTTGATAAACAATCGGGTCAAAGCTATTGTTGGTGTACCAAATTAAGATTGTTTTCGTGAAACATTCAATACCACGCGCCGAACGTACGAATCGCGACATGAATTAATGATTCGATTACAAAAGGTCAAGTTGAAAATATTTTTTGGCACAAACTAGTCGCGGACTAAGGGGGTCGGATTGTGCCAAGAATTTTCGGCGTTTGTGACGCACCGACTTTAGATAATACAATTTGTTTCTCGTGGAATCCTTCGTATACACGGAAAACTGGTACGATCATATCCCAGATGACGATACCGGAAAACACTCCTATAGTTTCACGTTGTCTACCTTCGTCTTCTAGAACTCTGATCAAATATCCAGAAGCTGTATATTAATTTTATTTAACGTATCGTCGGTTTGCGTTGATTATCTCTCGACTATAAAAGTTACTTCTACCAGTCTACCAGTTGCGTAAGAGTATCATCGACAATGAGGAAACATTGCCACGATCACCCGCGCCGAGGAAACACCAATAGCGTTTCCCGATCGAACTAATCGCAAACTGCATTCTAACGTGGATCGGTTCGACGCGAATAAACTCGATTGAAACTATGCGCAACAGCTTCCGTTCGGAAGCACGTCGATGCCTTTTCTATTCTCGACCACGATTAGCTTGGACGCATCCAGTGCTGCCACTGGGTCAGCAAATTTTCATCGGAGATTTATCGCGAAGGGCTTTCATGCGTTATCGAACTTCATTGTGTGTCCCCTGTCGACGGTAACACGACCATCAAGGAAGACCGATAGCCTATTGAATTATTCCTGTAACGCGATGATCCATTGTCTTCGAGTAACCAACTCCCTCTCGGTTGGATGGCCTCGTGGCGCCGGATTCATACTCAATGGACCATCGATAACTCGTGAATGAATTTCGTATTCATTTCATACTTCGTATCAACCGAAGCTTCCGTGTATAAGTCACGTTCTTTGAACAAGGTACTGTAATGTTTCACCACGTAGCTTCTTCAGAGGTCTAATGACCAGCGAACCACGCAACGAGCTCGTCGATTGGTAGACAGTGCTAGGTGATTGGTAGTCGGTGAATCGTATCATGAGGTCATGAATGTCTCAAGCTACACGCCAGTATCAACGTGCCAGTTGACCCCTAAAGAAGCTATGTAGCCGCAATCCCTGGCATAGGAGGATCTCACTCAAAGCCTCGAATCACTCGTCGGTATTTACCTGCTTGCCCAGCCCAAGGACCACGAGGAGAACGTAACCGTTGAACAGAAGACCCAGAGCAGAAACAAGGACGAGAGGCACGCCAAAGGCCCAAGGGACCATTCCTCTTCTTCCCGCGTGTTTTCCTCGCCGTCGAAGATTCTGGCACCAGGGGTTGGGAAGCTACCTGGCTCTATCCTCGAGACGTTCAGGTGAGCCTGCCCGCGGTGTCGATCCTCTGACTCGGGATCCACGGCCGCCTCACCACGGCGGATGCACCTGAAACATCTATGAAACACGCTGTGTTGGCCAGCGCTTACAAAAAATTTGTCTTTTAATACTCGGAGGACCTATGGTAAATGACTCGTTTTCTAATATTTCTCTCTAAAAATTTTCCAAGGTATTCTTCAAAGTCCGTACATTCTTGTGTCTAAATTTGACCTTTCTACATTAGTCACGTTTCCTATTACAAATTCCCCAAAATTGGTCTCAGGATAGTTCCTTCAAGGCTATCGACTCTCGAACACTGGTTACTTTACGAATTTCTTATTCGACTACCATTGACAATACTTCCCTTAAACTTTGAATGCTTATTTAAGCATACTCCAAGAAAACATATATTTGTTTAATATACGAACCACAGTGATTCGCGAAACCCAGAATTATCTTGTCACGGATGGCACCGATGGTTGCAGGTCATTCGATGTAATGTATGCGGTAGCTAAATTGAAATTGATTGAGTGAACAGAATATTTCGAAGGAATCTCGAGCAGAACCGCGACGAGGTTTTACAATTTTTACCGCTCGAGTCATGATATTGATTTATAAAGGAGGCATTGGTTTGGTCAAGGCCGTTACATTAGGACACGAAAGGTCGGTCTCGCGAGGCGAGGTCCTCGAATCACCGCCAAATATATCAATTAACGACGTTACCGCAGAGCTATATTGAATAATACATCAGTTATTACAGGAACGTGTACACCAGAGTTCTGCCTTCGATTAACATGGAGTAACATCGATTCCATCGGGCCAATGGAGCACCGTATGCCATCGAATATTGCAAATTAACCTTCCAATATTATTAATCCTGGAGGATAAATGTAAAGGAAATAGGAATCGAAGAAATACAAAATTTGGCAATGGAAACACTGGATCTCGATAAAACTTACAAGGTTCCAATCAGGTGTGAGTCTGATCGAAAACAACGATCCTGATCCCCAGCGATTCAGGATCCTGAAGAAAAGTTATCGTTTCTCATCCCCTCCGTCATAGTTATTGTTTACCGTCCCTGGAGGCGTTACATCCTGAAAGTGATGTTTAAAGATTCAATCGTTCGAAACTTCAGTTATTTCACGTGAATCAAGATCCGCAGTTGAGAAAATCTTTTTCGTTTTCAATTTCATTTTCAGATCCTTTCAGAATTTACTGCACGCAATTCTTAGGGAACATTGACTCAAGTTACGATCGTTTAACGACCTACCAAGCTCTACGTTCTAATTATACCAGTAACGTAGCAAGAGTTTCAAATTAGAGCGATACAGGTTACGGTAAAAATGTTCTTGGTCCTCTTACAATGGCGCACTCGAGAATTACACGCACAATGGGCACGCATCTCGTCCGTGTACATTGTTTTCCAGATCACGAGGCAACCAGCCGACAGCATAATTTGGTTATGCTGCCATTCAGCCGGTTCCATTATCGACTATTAAACATACGCGGTTTCAATGCCACCGAGACGACTCCGCCAGTTTCGCGATTGCTACGCGCCTCAGTTATTCGATTCCTTGTTTGAGCAACCTCGAAATCTAATATATCGCGCACGCAAGGAAAGCTCGCTAAGTACGTCGATTGGTCTGCGCGACATTGCAACGCGAAATCTCGAAGACCTCTCGCTAATGGAGAGTCTGGTGATTATATTAAAATCATCATTAATTGGGTCGTTACTGGGAGGAAGCTTTTATTATTGACCGAAAGAATCCTTTGTCTAGTCCTCGAATATCGATCCTGGTACTTCGAAGCAAGGAATGCTTCCATGTCTCTTAATTGAGGAAGAGACGATGCGATTAAGTAACTTTAGGGAAATTGCTTGCAACGATTTGCACTGGTTCTGAAAGATGAAATTAAATAAAAGCTCCTCGTAGTTAAACATTAATTCTGAGAGTAGTACGGTCTTCTTTAATCTTGTATGTTTCCTTCGAATTCGTTACGTAAATAGAATTTTAATAGTATTTACGTCCTCGTAAACGCTGGAATTAAGAACTCGTTAAGCGCAGTAACGGGCGTGACGGAGATTAATGAAATTCTAAACATCGGATTTATACGAAAATCCGAGTAAAGACGATAAGTCACGCGCCATTACCCGCGTTTCATTTTCGTCGCGCTGTTTCGTTGCAAGACGACTGTTACAGCGAAATCAGAAGGTCGAGATTTTCATGGAAACGAACTGCTTAGGAAACGTTACCAGCAATGTATTTCACGATTAAGATTTTAATTGTAAAATGCATATATAGAATAACGGGTATGGCTTGTCATTCATCGTTGTCCAGATACGAATTTTAATTAAACATTTGTCTGCGAAAAGTTCCCATTCGATCCTATGAAACGTCTTGATGGCTCGCGGTTTAACGTTTTCCGATATTCGTGGAAAGATCTCGAAGGTGTTTGATAAGAAAAAAGTCAATTAAAGGAGCCACTTGATTTCGCCACGTTTTTTCAATTAAGCAGCCTTTTCGACTCAGCACGCGACGAATTAAACGATAGGATTCGCAGGTTCGCGAGATTGCGCACGGTGTGTGTTCTCTTCGCAAATATCCTCTAGCGAGGCAAATTAAAGGAATGAGATTTCCATGAAATTAACCGTGTGTACGGTATGCAAAGTACCCTCAGAACGGAGGCGAGCCCTCGATTCCATCGACGAACAACCGTTAATGCGCTCCGTGAAGTCTAAATGCCTGTCTTCAACAGCTCCAAGAATCACGAACGAATGAAAATTGTGACGAGGGTTTCGCGCACCGCGAATGCGTTCCTTCCCTAACGTTTCGTTATTCGTCGTACAGTTTCCAATTATCTTTTATTTTCCGCTGGAAGTTCCCCTTTCATTTGGATAATGAAATTTGTTTCCCGAATGAAGTGTTTCTGAAAAAATTAAAACTGCTCTTTTCGCTGTGCTTGTTACATTGATAAAAATCCGTCTCTCGAGTCAAAGTTGCCGCGAATTCTCCGAATAATTACATTCCATGATTAACCTACTTTCGAACCAAAGGAAACTTGCAATTTTTAATATTTACCGCCTGTTCGATAACGAACAGCACAAGAACTTCTTATTAAGAAGCGTCGTCGAATCATTCAGATAGACTGTATTTCTCAGTGACGTTCATATTAACAAAATCTCTCCTTCGTTGAATACCAAACGCAAGAAGGGAAATTATCCGTTGTAGCTGAAAATCTCTTTTGTTATTGAAAATTTCGAGCTCGGCGCACCCATTTCCACGAAATTTCCCGTTCTGACGCCCATCGAGCCATTGTTCTCGCTTCAAGCGCGCGTCAAATTGTTTACGACTACTTAACGGCTAACTGGAACGCGTAGACTACCCCGCGGCGTGTTTTCAAGTCGTCCGAAGTTTCGTGCAATTGCGTTCCGTGGATGGTGCAAGCATCGAATCGTTTTCAATTTGTCGAGGCGCAGTTCCCGAGCGGCGGCTGTGGAAGACAAACGAAAGCGCGGGAAACGGCGCACGGGTGGTCGTTGAAAGTTTTCTCATCGATGCTTCTTCATCTCGGCGGGAAGCCATCGGGCACGGCGCACGAAATGGTGGTTGTTTACAACCATAGAAACCATTGCGAAACTACGTCGCTTCCACGGCTAGAATTTAACTACGTTAGGCTTCCATCTGTTTGCACTCGACGAGGAATAGACCGTCGTTTCTGGAAGAAAGTTCAGAAATAATGGGGGCTGAGGAAAAGGTCGGATCGCGGTCGAATGACGGCTTCTATGTTTAGATGCCTTTTCCAGGCGGGGACAGTCAATAATTTCGTGTGTAGCGAAAATAGTGCGACGCAGAATGGGAAACAAGGAAGGAGATTTAACCTTTTGTGGGAGGAATCTTAAATAAAGTATTTTTTTGCTCTGTAAATCGATTGTGACGTATGAATATGCGGGTTTGCTTTAATGTCCTATATATTTTAATTCTACGAGGTATCGTGATGGTAAATAATGGCAGTTTTGATATAAAAGCAGAAGTATACGTATGTGTACACCAACGCATTTTGCCCTGACTCGTTACTCATAATTTTACAGTTTCGTTATATTCGAAGCTGGGGTCGTTCGGTTTGAGAAATGCAGGGAATCCTTCGAAAAATGCAATATCCGCAAACATGATACATATTAAAGCCTGGATCAAAGCAGCGCGAAGAATAGACCCAACATGCGCGACGAACTGAAATCGCGTTTGTTGTGTTTCAATATTGTTGTGTTATAAAATTAAACGTTGAATATTTTCACTTTTTATTACATTTCTGGCAGTTTTCGTCCATCATCGTCTTTATAATAAAATTAACCCGTAATATAACTACATTTTCGCGATAGAATTTTCCAATAATATCTGCGCGCAGATGTCCAAATGATTCATCATCGTTAATATCGTTCCCAGAAACCAGCATCAATTAAACGCGAAACCGGCGAAACTCTAGAGATCCCTCCGCTCATCAGCCACCGTAACTTTGCCGGAACTATCCTAAAATTTCAATAGGAGATGAGGTCCCGTTTAACCCATCAACATTCCCGGCAACAGACAGATACGTCGAAAATAGCAGACTGCGAGCTGCGAGTTGCTTTCCTTATCGATCTCAGCCGACGTGATTTCCCACCCACGTCGCTGCACGTGTAAAGTGTTTCGCGCAACAAGTACCCGACGACAAATGACACTCGACTGGGATTTCGAGTATTTCAATAAGATCCTCCATCGCCGAGAGGCACTGCGTTCCGTTCGTGATAACATTTTCCACTCAACTAACAGAGCAAGGGCGTTCGTTCGATTTCAGCCAGCCATTCGTCTTCCTCGGTGTTCGCTATCTGGAAGGAACTCACCTTGGGTAAAATCAAAGATTGATACGCGCGATAGCTCCACCTGGAAATGCTCGAAACGTTGGTATTCGAATTACAACCGATCGGGAATCGAATTAGTCTTGCTCGAGGCAGAAGCTACCGAGCATTGGCATAGAACGATCCTTTGTGCATTTTTAAAGCGG